GGCACGGCTCATCGAGCTTGTGATCCTAAACGCGATAATTACCACACCTCGAGCCCACGTTGCTGAAGCCAACTCTGGCCAAAAGTCCCAAAACGTGGGCAATGGTTCCATCATATCATTATCATGGTTGTCTAAATTCCGCATTAAAAGGTCCATGCCTACCAACCTCGAGCAAAACATGTCTTTTAACCACAGCACATCTGTCTGTGTGTCTCTACATATGAGGGAACCTCAATATGGGCTTGAGCAACGAACAAATACAAAGCTGGTTCTCCCAAAAAAGGACTTCTTGGAACTGGAATGCCTGTAGCTGTGCTTGCCCATCGGACAACTTGGGGCGACCCCATCGGAAGTGCATGAAGTGCATGACTTCAGGCACAGTTCTCCACCATGGCCCGTGACCTCTCGCATCAGTTTCTCAGGAACCAAACTCCAACTTTTGGATCCCTTTAGAACTAGAACTGACTGATTTCTCAGCTGTGCTTGCAGGACGTGGTGCGTTCCAGGAACCTGGCCTTGAGACTGACTGATGTTTGCAGCCTTCTAAATAACCAGCTGAGACAAGGCGAAGCCCAAGCTGTTTGTGTTCGCGCCGGTCCACATGCTTTGATTTTCCCGAAGGGCCGAGAAGCCAAGAAATCGGTGTAAGGCGAGAGCCTGGAGAAAATAGATTGGGTCTGGATGGTCTAAGAAACAACAGAACACAACCCCTGTCAGTGAACACTGACCCAACACTACGCACGCATCCTGTCCCTTATTTGAGCGCGTCCCATTGGCTCTGTCAAGGCCCTTTCGAATCATTCACGCCTCTGCACTCGTGAGGTTGTCCCAACCATGGGTGGCCCTTTGGAAAGATAGATGGCCCTGGTAAATGGAACAAACCATCTAAACAGGTGCCATCTATTTTTAACCAAACGAACCTAAAAAGGAAGTCAATAGTCTGAACTTTTGGACACCCAAGCATCAACCCCGTCCAAAACCGACTGGCCCACCCACCCCCAGAGGCCGGGCGATGGCCCCGCCTCCACTGCCTTGCCGGCCCGCAGCAGGCGGCCCTGCACCACCAGGCACCGCGCGCTGTCCGCCTCAGCGCAGCGAGCAGCTCGGGCCGCGAAAAAGGTGACAACCACACAGAAACAATGGACCCAAAGACACCCAAGACAGATAAAGACGCCCAAAGACACCCAAAGATATCCAAACACGCCTAACAATAGTCAAGACAAGGAAATCCCCTTGGCAAAAACAAGCAAACACAAACAAAAGGTAAGCAGCTAGTGACTCAATGTCTTCGAAACTGGTGAAGCCAGGATCCAAAAGGGCGTAGGCCGGCTGCTGGCACCGACAGTATGATTGGTGCGAGAAATCCAGTGCAGCTTCAGGCATTGCGCCTTGATTGCGCTGACTCCACGTAGTCCTCACGTAGGTGTCCCTCAAAACTCAACTATCGAGTGGACGGGCCCGAAAAAAGAGCCCAAGCTTGTTTGTGTACAACTAAAATAGGTCAACCCGCAACATCGACTAAAGTCCAGTCACTCAAGTGAGAAAAGGGATCCCCTTCGTTCTCAAAAAAGCTTTGCCCTACGGCGTTCAGCCTTAGAAAGCAACCCGCTTGGGGAGAACTGGGATGACCTCTCCTCCCGGTCGCTGGTCGGATGTTTTGACAAAGGAAAGCAAGACACAGGAAAAGGCCGTTGTCGGACAGTTGCATGGGAGGGACCTCTGCAGTCACAGCGTAACCACAGTTTGGCGAAAAAATACTGGTAAGCAGCTTTGATGTCACCAAGGATGAACAAAAACAAATGCAAACACATCGTCTACCCGCCACCGTAACCTCCAACCCTGGACTCTCATCAACTCTCATTACACCAGCATAGACCCCAGATAGCAGTGCCTACACACCAGCACCTTGAAAAGCACCCCCCAACAAACACCCAAAGCAAAAACCCCTATAGCTTTCAGCTATCTGGGGAATAATAGCAACCAACAATAGCAAACGAAAAAAATGAGCCTCCGGGGTGCCCAACCAAGCAAGTCGCCAGGGGGGGCAGGTATCGGTTGACCATTGAGCCCTGGCACAGTTGAGGAGTGCTGTCCTATTTGCAAATACTGCTGTTTTATGCTTTGTTTAATTGCCAGAGGGAAACACACATATCCGCAGTTGGTTTGATTACCAACAGGGTGATATTTCACGACACAAATCAACTATTTTGCATGCGTGCTGATTTCCATCTATAGCTCCCGGTGCCATTTGGATGGCCGAGGTCTTGCGCTCCTTGGGCCCCGCGCTGCCCACTCCAGGGAAGCGCCTGGAAGATTTCAAGGCGAGTTTTATGCCAAGGTGTTATTGAATGGTTTGACTACCCATTCTGAATCACCCTTCGTTCTCTCTAGAAACCACCCATTTTCCAGGGCTTCGCCCAGTTTTTGAAGAGAAGGATCCCTGAAGAGAATGGGGAGGGCACAGCTAGAGTTTTGGGGAAAAAACAAAATAGCACTAAATTAGGACGTGTGGCTCAAACCAGCAGAGCTGCACAGGTCCATTGGACCATTGGGACATCAACCAAACTGACCCAAGACATCACGAAACAGAAGTCCTTTGATTCCCCCCAAATGCAAATGATTCATCCAAAGCTCAAACAATCTTATTCGACTTTTGTGAATTTGTAGATTCCCCAGCCCTACTGTGACTTCCCTAAGAGCAATCACATACGCCAAACTCCAAACTCTCACGCACCGGAAGTTCCGCAAACATGCTGAAATGTATGATGGCAAGGATGGATGAAAACTAGAAGGTATGACATTTGACATAGGCTCTGCAACGCTGTCACATGCTCTCATGGAATCACGCTTCGGGGTGCATGTTGACAACCTCTACTGAAGATTCCCACATGCCACTCTCTCCCCTGTCGCATGAAGACTGACCAGGTTTCCACAGGAATGCAATGATCATGGCTGCTCTTGGAGCTACATGATGAACAACACAATGCAAAGCCTTGCACACAACGCCAGTCTTAGAAGCATATGAACTACCAACATCTCCAAATCATTCTCCGGCGCTCTGGTTCGGAGAACACCAGGCGTGCCTGCTGCACACGCCTGAAGAAGTTGGGAGACCTGGAACGCGTGGCGAGGAGCCCCCACCCCCCAATCACACCGCTGGGTATCAAACACCACTACACGGGGTCATTGACCGAGCTGCAACGCAGTACGTCTGGGAAAGCAAGCATGAACCCTGGCACAACTGTGACATGGACACTCAACCTGGAATGGCGACCCACGATCGCGAAGCCTGCATGGTCTTAGCAGTGACCAACTTCTTGCTATTGAAGTGTCAGCCTAACATTGGAGAAATTCCTCAATCGAATATACACACCATCGCATGCTGCACCTCCCGTTCCAAGCGATCTGATGGATGCCCAACTAGCTAATGAACTTTGAAGCACGGGTCAGACTATATCTAGATAAAGGCGGTGTGACATGTGCTTGTTCAAAACCCGAAAAAGACGGTGTACCGGAGGACCATCAGCTTTCTGGGTGTATCCTGCCGCTGGTCCGCCATTCCACCATTGGTGAATACCTTCAAAGCCAGAGTCGAAGTCAATTGAGAGATCCTTATTGCTTTGGTCAACGCTTACCCCTAAGCCTGGGAGTTAACGTTTCCTTGCATTATTTTTTTATTGAAGGGCACAAATATAAGATAGTTCGAAACTCTGACCAAGTGTGAATGAGCCAAGAACACGTCGTGTTTTTTTGAAAACCAGCAACCATCTGATGCAAATGCAAGACCCCTGGCTTTTGTTGGTACTTTGCGAGGTTCCATCCTCCCAGAAGCACGGTAGACTGGCCATCTGGGCAAACCCCACAATAAGGAACCTTCATCATGTGCAAGCTCGTTTTAGACCCCCAGGTGAACTCGTCATAAATCGCCAAACGGGGTTGATCAAAAGGTGTTTTACCTGGAATGATTGGGGAAAACCAAAGAACATCTTTGACATTTCTCACATCGGACAATGTTACCCATGGTCAAAGAGTCAAAACTGGGGGCCCGAAGGGAACACAGAACCCCGAAATCATTGTGAGTGACTCACTGAGTCGGCCGAATCACTGGGACTCAGCCAGCGACCGGCACGCGCAAGGCGCTCGCCACATCGGCTGTGCGGCCTCTCTCCGGAGAATCCCGTCCCTCTTCCAAAGGAGCCAAGTGCCTGGAACAAACAAAAACCAAAGGGAAACTTGAAGCCTTAGGGCCCAAGTACTTTTTCAGACTTCCAAAGGGAAGCTTTAAGCCGTCTGAAAGCGTGCGCCACCGATTCTCGGGTTTTGGTGACCAATCGAGGGCAATCTTGCATCCATACGGGATGCTACGTGGAGTGACTTTTCGGGAAGGGGCCCTTCTCTTGACCCCAAAGTGTCCAATTCCCGGAGATACAACTCAGCTGAGAAAAGGACTGTTGCCAGAAATGTGAGTACATTGCTAGCAACGGAGCTGCTTTGATGGCCGAAATGTTTTTTTTTACCTGTCCGTTCCCTGCGAGAACAAATCAAGTCTCTTTTCAAGGATATATACTATGGATGGACGAACTCCGTTTGCACCACATTGAAACCATGGGAATCCATCGTTGGTTGGTATTTGCAGGGGAATCGAATCATTCCACCGCCTCTTAGGTGGTGCAGGATTTCGTCTCTGGTCTTCTTGGTCGATGCATCGGAGGATACTGCATTCTAATCGCCGGTGATCCTTCACAATTCGGGGGGTGGTCTTGCTCCATAGATAGCCACGTTGTTTCATCTGGGTTCCCGTTCACATGGATGGCCGGCAAATCCCAGGCTGCCAAGCTGCGGTTCCGGAAGCAACTGCTGGAACCTATGAATCCATGGCTTCAAATCAAACTTGAAGGCACTCCAACAAGCCGATTGTCGATTGTCCAGCAAGTGTCCTTGTTCCACACGAGCGAATTATTCGCAAAGCGCAAAGCATCAGACCACAGCTGGAAATACTA